ATCCAATATTTGCAACGTGTAAAGATAGAAAGAATTTATACTTACATGCATATATTTGACTCTAAATACTCACCAAATTATTTTACTCAACTAATATTGAACAATAAGCTATTGGGATCATTGGGGCTTTGTGGCTTTCAATTGTTAGGCTCTTTGGTCCGAGGTAGGTAATATGGGAATGTGTGGCTAATTTTCTTGAATTTAGGTGATTACGCCAAAATTTGAAAGATAGGCGTTTGAAACAATGAATTCACCTCTAGGGACTTTAATAAACTCGACTCTCCAAGATTCACACGTCAACACTTTTGCCTTTGAGGCAATGGATCGAGTTTTCAACACAATTCAACAACTAGTCCTTCTCTCTCTCTCACTCTCTCTCTATATATATATATATTTATATATATCTTTTTTAAACAAATAAAAAAATTTATATATATATATATATATATATATATATATATATATATATATATATATATATATATATATATATATATATATATATATATATATATATATATATATATATATAATCTGAGATTGATTTGCGTATACATAATTTGGGCAGGAATGTTTCGGATGTATTGTGAGAAGCAATATCCACCGGCCAAGTAGTTTCGTTGTACCGAGGCCTTGGAACAAAGAACAAACTAACATCAAGCGTTTATTCGTATATTTAAATAAGTCAAGTTATTGTTATAACCACTTTAATTATTCTAGAGACACACACACAATCTCGTGAAACGTAGATGCTCTTACAGTTTCCTATTGTGATGGTAAAAGTGAAGATTTTGACATACGAAAGTGGTGATGGTGTGGTGTGGCGGTGGCGTGGTGAAGATGAGGAGCAGATTTATGATTTTTTGAATAGATTGCACTAGGCCAAAATGCAAGACTGACGACGTTTTTTTTCGCGACGGTTATGTGTTCGTCGCCTATTTGCGACGTTTCAGAGCTACAATCGTCGCTGAAAGTGGAAAACCCAGGTTTAGTTCAAAACCCTAGCGACGATTCCGTGTAATCGTCGCTAGGTTGCGACGCAACAGGTATAAACGTCGCATATATGAAAAAAAATTTAAAAATAATTATTTGGCGACGAAAACTATATTTCGTCACACGTTTTACATATTTTGGGATTTTATATTTCAAATCTCGCGACGTAACAGTGTACAACGTCGCAAATATTATTTTAAAAAAGAAAAAATAATATACTTTGCGACGATTTCTCGGAAACGTCGCTATGAATGCCCAATTATTTAATAATAATTTATATATTGCGACGGAATGATGTAAAACGTCGCCATAGTTTTATTTAAAAAAAAAAAAATTCATTGCGACGGATGTTACAAAGCGTCGCAATAAATATTTTCAAATTTTTTTTTTCAGGATTTATTTGCGACGTAATTTATGTTTCGTCGCTAGTATTCCCTTAAAAAAAATTATTTTTTGTTGCGACGAAAGATGTAAACGTCGCAAAGGTTGATTTATTATTTCAACCAGACCCTAATTCGATCTGTTTGTTTCGCTCTCTAAATTTCTCCCCCTCTCTCTTTCCTCCGATCTGGCCACTGCCGTCCGCCGCCCGCCGTCCGCCGCCCGCCGCCTGCTGCCCGCCGTTCGCCGTCATCCCACCGGCGTTAGCCCTCCTCCGTGATACCCTAATTCGCCCCAAATCTCCGCCGCCGATCCCGACAGCCCTCCGCCGTCAGCCCTCTGTCGTCGCTGCCAGACCGTCTGCTGCCATTCCTCCTCCGTCTGCCCTCCTCCTTCAAGAATTTCAAGGTAATAAAATCTTTTGGTAAAAAAAAAAAAATTAGATTTCTCTTTTTTTGGTGATTGAGATGATTGATTTAATTATTTGCATTTATATTCGTTCATTGCTTTGTACTTTGATTAATTGAATTATTTTATTCAAATTGATATCTAGAATTGAAAAATCATATATTAAAAAATGTGGTTCGTCTGAAATTATTACATATATATTTAGATGGGGTGAAATTGAGTTTATTACAACCTAAATAGGCTCATAAAAACTCAACTCATGAAGATCTTATTCTATATTTTTTTTGTCCTTAGAAAAGAGGAGGTATCTTTATTAGGCATCACTTCGCCGAAATTTAAAGTCTTGTCAGAACGTTTAAATGAAACTTGGTTGATGATGTGGACTTACGTTAAATGAAACTTGAGGGGTTTTTTTTAACTTGGTTGGAGGGAAGATTACGCGTGCGGAGGAAGTCGGTGGAGGTTAATTGACTACATTTTGGTAGTCGGTTAAGTTAATCGACTATGTTATGATATTGAATTAAGTGTTAATCGACTTTTGTTAGTCGATTAAGGTTACTCGATTTCATTTTTTAATTCGTTTTTGGATTCTTGTGTATTGATTTTGATTTGTATAAATCAATTAAAAAAAAAATTAAAAAAAAAGGGTGAATTCCACTCCCCCTTGTACTTTGGCTCGATTTCACTTTACCCGCTTCTACTCTCGATTGTATCGATTTGCCACCTTGTACTTGAAAAATGGTCTCAATGTGGCCCTCACCGTTAGTTTTCAGACCTTTGACCTTAACACCGTTTGATCTTAACACCGTTTGATCTAAGTTTGAAAATTACAAAAAACCACCCCGCTTAGTTTAAATAATTATTAAAAATTAAAAAAATCAAAAATAAATTGTGGTTGGCGTTGTGGACTATGTTTTCTCGTTGTTTTGAATTTTTTATTATTTTATTTTTGTTTATTTATTTGTTTTTTGTTTTTTTAATAAGTATTTAAATTGAGAGAGATGATTTTTTTTTTGTAATTTGAGAGCCGATCAAACGATGTTAAGGTAAAATGTCTGACAACTAACATCGATGGCCAAATTGAGACTTTTTCAAGTGTAGGGGCAAATCGATGCAATCGAGAGTACAAAGGGATAAAGTGATATCGAGTCAAAGTACAAGGGGAAAGTGGAATTAACCGAAACAAAATTATATAAAAAAAAAAAAGGAAAGGCTGATGGGTGGTTAGCCGGATAGTACTGATGAGGTGACAAAAACGTAATTGAAAAAAATGAATGACCAAAATTAAGAATAAACTTTTCACAAATAATACAAAATAGTTTGGGTCTCTCCTTATTAAAAGAAATATTGATAGATTATATCATCCGATCTCTTAATTAAAATCTCTGAATTCCGTTATGCAATATTTTGAATTAGACTACCAAATAAGAAATTGATTTTGATAATACTCTCAAAAGTCAAAGCATTAAAGTCTATCAAACGGGACCGAGCCACGTATCGACATGATCCCATTGTTAAAATATGATTTTCTTTTTTCTTTTTGTCTCATGCTTGACCGGTTATTCCAATTTCCATAAAATGCACTATTGAATTGTTTATGAATTAATTTATCTTTCCAGCAGTCGGTGTACGATATATTCTATTCCCACTCCATTTTTGCAGAATTGAAGCATATACAATCTCCACCGTTGGATCCGTGTACAACATTCATTGAGGCATCACCCATATTTGGCAAATTTCGCTTGTTTCCAAAATGGCATCATCCCAATGATTTTATATATACCGTGCAATTATTAATAATTATATGCATGGCCCCAACTCAATAGATGCTGCTTTTACAAAGTTGACCAAAAAAAAGAAAGAATATTTATGAGCCATACAGAATACCAAATTTATATTATATTCATCATTTATCCATATCTTTTTTATTCCATTTGATGATTGATTTCTCAGCCTATATAAACCATATGCATCAATCAATCGTGGAATAGTTATATATATACACACACATGCAAGTGTGTGTGTGTTTCTGTTGAAGTAGGCTTGCATGAAGAGGTAAAGAGAGTGGTTTGCAGCCAAGGATGACTTGCCGATGATCTTGCAATATTAATTATATTGCCCTAATTTTATTTAAATGATCTGATCGGCAAGTTGTTCTTGGCTACAGTTTGCTCTCTTCTTCTCATGTAAGCCCTGATACATGGATCTATATATGTATATATATCATGTTGGAATTAAATATATATCTGCAATGCAAGTTACCATAGAGTTATATAGAGATCCTATGCATTTTTATTAGGGGTGAGCAGGTCGGACCCATCAATCTGTTGAACCCGTCAAACCCGGTAAAATTCGTCCGACTACGACCAGACCGATAGATCCATCAATAGGATTGAGTCCTGAAATGGAGAAGATATTCGTGGGTTTGGGTCTAAGACGAGCTCAAATTTTTTTAATACCCGTGAAACCCGTCTCGTCTCCCCCCAATACAAAACGAAGCCATTTTGTTATATTATGTAGTATAATAAATTAATAATATATAATACATGAATATAGTATCTCTTACATATCAAAACTTATATTCTATAACGACGATATCGTCTTGTTTTGCACGTGAGATTAATTAATGGGAATACATTATACATGCACACTTGCAAAATATTGCTTAAATAAGTATATATTATAATATTGAAGTAAAAATATTATATAAGTAATATATTCCCATCTAAGAGACTCCGATGGATAAGCAGATAGCCAAGGATGACTTGCCGGAAATAATATTCAGGCAAACCTCTACTTATTTTCCGGCAAGTTGTCATTGGCTACATTTCTCTCTCTTCTTTTGATGTGAGTTTGTGCGGATCAATTTATCTCTCTTCTTATCTTGAGTTGCATATAGGGAAATGCATTAATTTTAATATTTGTTCATGACAGTTGAATTAAGTTTTCCCAACGAGGTTGTATATTTGTGATTTTAAGTCTACATTTTTAAGACATACTTGGGTTTCTTTTTTGTTTTCTTACTATTATGTTATTTATATAATATAATATCTTAACGTTTAGCATTGTATTGCTCTGCTTTATAAACTGTACATTTTGTTACTGATATTGCCTTTGCAGTTTTTTAACAATAATTTAGGGCCGGGACTGAGTTGTTTGTACCCACCAATGACCCATTATCGGCTATATTTTCAGGTGGATAATAAATTTTTAACTGATTTATTGAATCGGGTCAAAATTTTTGACCAACCCATCTATAATGGATCGGTTGATGATTTTTAATATTATCAAAATTTGATTGACTGACAATTATCGGTCAACCAACTATATTAATAAAATTTTATTAAAAAATATAAAACAAAGGGTGTAGTTTTTTTAAGTGTATGTTGGTATTTTTAAAATAGTTAAGATTTTAAATTAAACAAAAAAATCAACAAGGAAAAGAAGTGGACATAAATCTTCCACTAGAATTCGGGAATTTTAAATGTTTGGAATTAGTTTGAAATTCGGAATTATATTTTTGACGAATTGTTGTTAACTATTATGAACTGATATATGATTATGGCGAGTGGCACTAGGCATAATGTGCGTACTTTTACTCGAAAATTTGATTTTTATAAAGTAAACTAGGTGGCTGGTATACTCATCAACCGACACATTTCGGAATGAAATATTCGGTTGTCAACCATCAACCGACCCATGATGAAAGTTGGGTTGGCAATGATTTTCAAATTTAAGCAAAATTGGTTTATTAGATGGGTCTATTTTTAGGTTGGTAATCGACCGACTCAACCCACTCCCAGTTCTAGCCAAAAGTATATTTTCTCATGCATGTGTTATATAAATGGTTTTTAGCTATACATGTTTTGTTTTGAATATAAGATTATAATTTATTGAATTATTATATTAATGAGAAAAAATTCTTACACCACACCGTCAACTTAAGTAGATACAATTTCGAAATATACAAATACTGTGATGCATGGAGGTCAAATTCAAAATTAAAACGTCATTCAACAATACAAGATCTAGCATAAAAGATGATCATATAAAACTATATAATTTAAGATATTGGGACAAAAAAGACATTGGACCAACTTAATTTTATCAATCGTCCAAAGCAAATAATTCACATAACACATTCGAGACATATTTCATACAATCATGCCACATGTAAATAAAATTAATGCAATCGCAGTCTAGATTGAAATCTTGTACATCCAAAATATTTTTCGAAATAATAGACCAAGCTATTAAAATAATCAAACACTATCGATTAGTTAACCTGCAATTTCCTTGAGTTTCGCATCAAGTCAGTGCGACACATTACTCATACACAAACAAAGAAATAATGTCTACATTAAAGTATCTTAAAAACGACATAAGCGAGCATCTGAGAAAAAAACAACCCCGTGCAAATATACCACTCCATGGTAAGACAAACACGTCTCATACATAAGGGGTCATTAGCAATACACCCCTCATTTAGATAAAAACTAGTGATATGTCCATATCATAATTCTTTCTTTGTAAAAACCCCTTAAAATATTTATTTCCAATCTTACCCCTCTAGTAGTGTATCACGTTTTTTTTATAATTATCCAGTAATTTTGAAATCCCTATTGATGAGGCACCTAATCCCGCTAATTAGGCTTAATTATATATTTTCCCTAATTTATCTCAATTATTCATTTTTTCTCTCTTTCCATAACAATTTAATTCCTAAAAACCTGCTTCCAAATTCCGAAATCAAAAAAATAAAATAAAAAAATAATCGGATTTTATTATTTTATTATTTTTATTTTTTATTTTAATATTATTTTTGGACTTTATTTAGTCATTTTGAATTTATTTTGAATTTTAATATTTTTTAATAAAAATATTATTTTAAATTTTTTTTAAAACTTTTTTTAAACAAAAAATTGAAATTTTTCTCTCAACAGGTTTGCAACGCCGAATATGACTATGGTTGAATATGACTATATGTGACTATAAACTGTAGTCATATTCTTTCTTTATATTGTTGTTTTTTACATTTTGAACTTAAAAGTTCCGATTATATGGCATAGTCATGTTAACCAAATCATATAAATAACCAAATCATATAAAACAACGAAGATTCCCTATTATTTACGAAAACAATTCAATTAACATCCACACAAAAAATCACAATTTGAATCTTGTGATTATAAGTCAACTTGAAAACGAGAAGATAGAACATATTCAACAATACTCGTATTCGAATATGACTACACTCATATTAAAAAAAAACATAAATATGACTATAGTCATATTCGAAAAAAACATAAATATGACTATAGTCATGTTGCTGCTACTGTACAGATCTGAAATTATATTTTCAGATCTGGAGGAAAAAAAAAAGAGAGAGAGAGAGAAATCGAAAGTACATAAATAAAAGGAGAAAATTAACGAACAAGATGGAGGGGGAGTACGCTTCATTTCATCAAACTAAATACATAAATATGACTATAGTCATATTTGAATATGACTATAGTCATGTTGTTTTTACTGTTGCTGCTACTACTGTACATATCTGAGTATTTCCAGATCTGTAGAAAAAAACAAAAAAAAACAGAGAGAGAGAGAGATAGAGAGAGAGAGGGAGAGAGAGAGAGAGAAATCGAAAAATACATAAATAAAGGTAGAAAATTAACGAAAGAGAGGAAATCCATTTTGTTGTTTCAGATGGGATTTACTTTTGTACACACAGAGTTTTTGGGGCATCAATCATGTTTGGTATGCGTTGATGTATTAGTTCCCAGCAATAGATGTTGTGGTCTATTCATATGGAGTCATGTTGTAGCCCTGTGTTTAAAGACCTCCACTGACATATATGAATAATGTTAACTAAGTTGGTAAATTGTTAATTACAAGACTGTTTCTGATCTGATTATGTAGTTACATAGTCACATTACCATCATAACTATATGTGACTAGGCCAGAATATGTATTTATACAACTACATTACCACATTCCATGCTATGATTTTGTAACTTTTGCAGTGGGAATGTGATCTGGTTTGAGCATATAATAAAAACTTGTAATTGAATTGGTGTATTGATGTAGTAACCTTCTGTAGTCATATTGGTAGAATGATTTATTTATGGCTGCATATGTGTTACATTACTCCAAACATGTTAAAGTATTGATGACTATAACAAACTCTGCAAAATATCAGCAACAGTGAGCAAAATAATTCGATTTTAAAATAAACTCGACAGTTTCGATTATGCTTCGGTTTTCGACAAAATTGGGGAAGAACAAAAACCTGGCCATCGGAGAGGAATCCAGCAACATCAATTACAGTAGTGAACTGTTTGGGTAGCAATTCTGGCTTATTCACACCAACTAATCCCTCAGCAAATCCCACTCCTACACTTTATTACTACTTATAATTAATTAATTAATTAATTAATCTTACAGTAAAAATATCAGAACAATCACGAGAATCAAACTGACCGGTGAAGGAGAAAGCAAGAGCGAGAGTGCCGGAGAGGAAAAAATTGAGAGACTTGGCCGGAACAGAAGAAACCAATCGTGGCAAAAAAGGCTGAAAATCGGCTGAAGATTATGTTGAGGATATCACGTCCCACTACAAAAAAGGAAACGGTTATATAAATTTATTATTATTAAATATTTGATTTATTTTAATAACTGCTGTTAAGGGTAATTGTGTCTTATCCTATCTTAATAAGGGGGTCTCACTAATTAAGATTTAGATATGGGTGTGAGAAAAAGTCTTAAAAGTCAAATGGGTTTTTTACATAATATTTTTCATTTTAGGGGGGGATTGCATATTTCCCCCATACATAATTAAACAACATTTTTTAAGATATATACCGTCATATTCACTGAAATACTTCTTTGTAATTATTGTCTGAATCATAATATTGAATACCAAACAGTAATATTACTAATATTATTGTCCCAAACAATAAAATTACTGTCTCGGACAGTAATTTTACAGCCAAGACAGTAATATTAATTAAAATATTTTTTTAAGAAAATACAAAATTTCAAAAAATAAAAATAAAAGTCAATTAACAGTTAAAAAATAATTTCAAAATTTAGCAACCAAGAAAGTAATGTCAATTAATGTTTTTTTTAAGAAAAACAAAATTGAAAAAAAAAAGTCAATGCCGGAGACCGGTCAAAATTGGAATAAGGATCAAAATTGGTTAATTGGTGAAATTGAGCTAAATTGAGGTGTATATCATGAAATTTGAATTGAATTATATTTCAAAGAATTGTGGGTAATTTTGGTATGTATAAAAGGTTTTCCTTAGTTGCAAATACATTTGAATGAACTTGAATTATTTGGAAGACAAAAAAGCTGGATATCCTTTTTTTTTAATTAAGTACCATTTGACATGGGTCTCTTTGCCATTAAACCATATAATGTATTCACCATACTTATGTAACTATTAGTATATTATAATAGTCTGTACCTTGTCTCTTTGTAATTATATAAAGGGATCTTAAGATATAAGTCCTGGTGACAAACCTTATTAGAACTAAATGACAAGTCTAACTAAAATTTGCTTCACATCATTTATTAAATTACTTCCAGAAATGCCCTTCCACTCACAAATTCGAAATTACACCAAATTATAAATATACTATGATGAACTATGGTATTATTTAACATTTTTAAGTTTGCATCTAGCATTTTTCTTTTAATTTTTACGTGGAACACGTTTTTTTTTCCCCGTATTTTTCTTTATATAAAAATCTATTTTTTTCTCTTCTTTTCTACATAAATTGAAAATTATGATTTTTTTTATTTTTTTCGATCGTAGACATCTACAAAAACCCATAGGAAACCGTAGTAATCCGTAGTTACCCACATACATCTTGAAACCCTAACTCCTCCTAACAAACCCTAGCCGCCAGACACCATAGACACCCATACACACTCACAGACATTTGTAGACATTCATATCGAAATTTTTTAAATTTTCCCCACCAAACCCTAGATCCGCTCCTCCACCACCGAGTGCCGCCGTCACGCCATCATCCATGCCCAGCACTGTCGCCGCGCCTTCCACCATAGATCTGACCTGATACCACCATAGTCGTTGCCTCCTTGCCTTTACATCCATCCTCTTATTGCCGCTGTCTCCACCGCCATAACCCCCCCCCCCCCCCCCCCCCAATAGTGGATTGGAGTGGTGGAGAACGAAAAAGATAGAGAGAGAGAGATAGAGATATCGAAAAATAGAGAGAGAAAGATTGCGAGAGAGAGAGAGAGAGAGAGAGAGAGAGAGAGAGAGAGAGAGAGAGAGAAATAGACAGAGAAAGATTGCGAGAGACAAAGAGAGAAAGAGAGAGCGAGATTGCGAGAGACAGAGAGAGCAAGAGAGAAGAAAAAAGAAAAATAAATCTGAGAGAAACGTGACTTTATAATTTATAGATTTAGGTTAAGGGTAATTATGGATAAAAGAAAAATTGAAGATGTGACTCATATTTATTTTTCTAAAAATGATTTAGTTCATAAAAAATATTAAGATTGTATTCCACATCTAATTATATTTCCAACTAGGGACCTCTACATATTACACCTAATATAAATTTATTGTAACATAATTTTAAAAAGGGGCCTTAAGATATAGGTCCCTAGTGGCAAAACTTATTAGAAATAAATGACAGGACTAACTAAACATTTGTTTCACATCTTTTATAAAATTCATTGCAAAAATACCCTCCACTCACAAATTCGAAATTGGCATTAAGTAAATTTAAACTGCATTTATCATTTTATTTATTATGCATTTAATATTTTCATATTTTCAACTAACATTTTTAATTTTTTTCTACAAATATCAGTTTTCTTGTTTTTTTATTTCTTCATTTTAGTATTTTATACACTATTGTAAAGAAAAAAAATTCCTTTCTTCTACATAATACTGAAAATTAGAAGAAAAAAAAAGCACGTTATTTTTTCATTTTTTTGAAATTCAATTTATATATTTTTTAATTTGTATGTGGTAGACTATGATATGCTACGGTGTACTATAGTATACTACCGTTTATTGTGTTTTACTATCTGAAACCCTAGCCGCCAACAACTCGCAGCCGTCGCAAACCCTAGCGGCCAACGTAGCCGTCGTCAGACCCTAGTCGCAGCCGCCATAACCATAATCACTTACCAACTTTGAAAAAACCTAGATCTGTGATACGATATATTAATATATATCGTTTAATTATTAGATAGTTAGTATTTTTATTATTAATTAATTAGAATAGTTTGTTTAGGTTTATATACATAGCCGTGAGTTTAGTATTTAGGATATATATTAAGTATTTTATTAGTTTAGGTAATTATCTTTCCTAGTGAGATTAGGATTCTAGGGTTTTATTATTGATAAGTGTTCGTTCTGCACGATTTTTGCTTATCAAATCTTCGAGTTTTGGTCTTCGTTCGTCCGAGTTTCGGCTTTATTTGTATATATTATTGCGTTTCTTGTTTTATTTCCTTTTTCAGGTTTTGTTAGCTATTGTTGCCAAGTCGAACCATTTGGAAGCGAAACCGATTGATCAAGCCGAGAAAGTGGTCATTAAGACCCAGATCGCGATCCAGGAACTTCGGATCGCGATCTGGATGCAAATTCCAGTAGCAAGCAATTTCAGACCCAGATCGCGATCCAGGAAAGTCGGATCGAGATTTGGTGACAAATTCCAATAGCATCGAGATTTTGGGGCAGATAGTGATCCGCACTTCCTGGATCGCGATCTGGGATGGCGGTTCACGTTTTTTCGAGAAGCCAGATCGCGATCTGACTTTATTGGATCGCGATCTGGCACGATTTTCGAGGGCAGATATTTTCAAAAGCAAAGCTTCTTGAGGAAGCTTTGCAATTTACTATAAATAGAAGCAATCCCTCACTCTTCATTCTTCTTCGACTTTTTACGGTTTTCGACAGTTTTTCGCGGGAATCATCAACGGGGGTTTCGACTTGGGTTTTTCTTACACAATTTCGTTACATTTTGTTCTTCATTTCCTTTGTACATTCTTTTGATACTATGTTTGTTATGAACTAAGAACATTTTCTTCTAGGGCAATGAAGCCTTGTATATATTGATTTCGATCGTCATTTCTGTTATCTATTTGTCGTGTTTCGATTTCGTTTATGTTTTCCTGTATTAAATGCATTTGATTGTTTGATCAGCTCTCGGATTGATATTAAATAGGAATGAACTCGAGAGAGGATTTCTTGTTTGAAGTTAGGAAAACATAGCTCAAGGTGTGGAAACGGAGACGTGATGCACTTCGGGTAGCCCTTAAGGACTTGACCTAAATGCTCTCTTAATAGCAGGTTCTGAACGGAGACGTCGGACCTGTGGGTAGACTCTAACTACAATGGAGACGGGGGTTAGAGTACATTAGCGTCTGGGTTAACGAATACGAATGTGGCATTAGATAACGGATTTGTAGATCGTTGTTGATTATACATAGGTGGATTTGGCCCTAGAAGTCCCCTTTAAATCGAAGTCCCCCCGCGTTGAGTTGTCGTTACTTTATTTACGTTAATTATATTTTTGCATGTTTACGATCTTGCATGCTTTCAAATTAGGGTTTCTCACCATTCCAAATATTTACGACCGGCTAGATAATATAACGATAATATAATTACACTACTCAGCATGTGAATCTACAAGGTCCCTGTGGATCGATATCTGGAACCACTGTTCTGCAAAATGCGATACTGTATACTTGCGGTAATTTATACGTGAGGAAACCACGTATCAAGTTTTTGGCGTCGTTGCCGGGGACCAATTTGATTTTATCTTTGTTGATAGTGTTACCAATTATCTGATTATTAATTTAGTTATTTACTTGTTTTATTTTCGATTTTTACCTTGATTTTAACCAATCATTTTGTTTATGCCTAGGAGTCGAAATTTGGAAATCATACCTTACGATCCCGAGATTGAAATGACGTTTCGAAGACGACGGGCCACGCGCAAACAACAAAGTGAACCAATGGCCGAAGATCAAGGAAATCCAGAGCACCTGGCCTTTGAGTACGATCCAGAGCCAGGACAAGATCATGAGCAGCCAAGACCGAACCTGCCACCCGAGCGAACAATGCGAGAATACCGAACTCCAGCTGTGATTGAGAACTATTCAGGAATCATGAAACCGACGATAGCCGCAAACAACTTCGAGCTAAAGACGGGGCTAATCAACATGGTCATGGCAAACCAATTCTCCGGAGCAGCCACTGTGGATCCGAATCTCCATCTTGCCAATTTCTTGGAGATTTGTGACACGATCAAAGTTAACGGTGTTTCTGATGATGCCATTCGGTTGAAGCTATTCTAATTTTCTGTCAGAGACAAAACGAAGAGTGGGCTTCTGAGTCTCAATCCAGGATCACTCACCTGTTGGGAAGAATTATCACAAGCCTTTCTGGCACGATTCTTTCCACCCTCGAAGACCGCACAACTATGAAGAGATGTAGGCAATTTCAGACAGATGAGCCAAGAGCCGATGCACGAGTCTTGGGAGAGATTCAAGGACATATTACGACTGTCCTCAACACGGATTCAACCCGTGGGATCAAATGGAGTTATTCTACAATGGGCTCGATCAACCAGCCCGATCTTTAGTCGATGCTGCCTCAGGTGGATCATTGCAAAACAAGACTCCCACAGACGCTCGAGACATTGTCGAGCGAATGTGTGAGAATGCTTACCATTGGCCGTCCGAACGGAGTGGTATACAAAAGGTGGCCGGAGTCCACCAACTCGATCCTT